TGTCCCCTGCCTTCGCCCTAAGTCGGCTGGGATAGGCTCCAGCCCCCCCGCGACCCTAATGAGGATTAAGCGGTGTATAGATAATGGATGGATGGGTCATGGAGTCAGCCTCAAGTGGCCGTTCAGGTCCCAGAGGCTGACCCCCAGTTTGTAATGTATCGCACCGGATTTGTCAAAGTGAGCATTTTAAATTCTTTAGATTTCTACAATATTGTCCTACATTATGATTAGATATTACAATGTGAGTTAATGTGGCATTCTCACAATACTGCTACCTAGTGAACACTCACCCAAAACTCACTCTGAATGTCTGAATGTTAGAAAGAAAACCAGCAAACAAATAAACAGTGTGAATTTTACAGTTGCATACTGCAACACTGCAACATCACTTTGTGTCTGAGGTACATTTTGTTGCCTTGAACTAAGCCTCCTAAAATAAAAAATGGCACCAGAAAAAGGCACATTTTACCTTCTCTGTTTTTCCACAGCATAAAACGAGATAAAAAGATATACCATCAACAGCAATAATGTAGATTTACTGTTCAATAAAACATGCAACAAGTGCATGTGTGCTAAACATTAAGGGGAACACATTCTCTGGCTACAGCTTTCCTGCAACACTGTCGAGCGTCCAGCTGCAGCCTCGTTTTGTTACCATCACCATCTGACAGCCAGCTTGATCTCCAGCAACTAGCCCACATGCAGACTGGAGCTGGTACATTGGACGACAGCCTCTGAGGTCCAGTCTCCTCCGTCAGTCATGCTCTCAGCTCAGGCCACAGCTCCAGCATGCTACTTCCAACTTGCCTGAGTTTCTATATGCAGCAACTGTCCAAATATTTGGGCAGCCAGCTATTGCCAATATTCTTCACTTCACCTTTACTCAACAACAAGACACTTCCCATGGCTATACTTGCTCCTTATATTGATCCATGCTCTGCCACTACCCTCAGCCTCTGACAACCTGGGATGTGAAACTTGATCGATCAAAGTATGCCAGTCTGACCAGCTGCTTTCTGTAACAGCTACTTTTAGCCCCATCCTGCACATTAAGTGTCCAACAGCCAGTCTGACGTGCTCTCCCAGCCACTGCTTCCAATATTTAGCATCCTCAGCTTTCACCTTGCCCTTTGCCTTAACACTTCTCTCACAGCAAGGTGCATTCTCAGCCACTGCCTTCGGGCATTGGCAGGAAGCCACAGAACCAGCATTCACCCGCAACCTTCACTACCTGCAAACAATGTCTTCTGAATACGAGCTGCTGCTCCCACATCTGTCACTTCTTCTACCTATGACCTTTATTTTGAGAAAACCATCAGCAGTCTCAACCTTAGGTCAAATCTTCAGCATTTGCTATTTATTCTGAAACCCAGTGTTTCCCTGCAGCTTCTGGCAACTATCTACAGCTACAACCTTTAGTAACCAGAGTCAGCCACAGCCTCTGCATGCAGGTTCTATTCGCCAAACTTTGACCTGAACTCTACCGTAAATTAAAAAAACAAACAAAAACAGCCCCAACTCCCACCTAGAACATCCAGAAGCTGATCGCACCTGCAGCTTCTGCTGACAGCCTCTGACAGACAGTGCTGACTTCCACCTGCAACTGCTGCCTGTAGGATAACATTTTAAAAACAATTTAATAAAAAAAAAAATATCTGGAAGAGTGTGTCTTAAAAATACAGTCACGGCCAGAATTTTCTGCCAGCTGTTGCCTGCAGCTTCAAAATAAAGAGAACCAGAAAAATTCACATCCTTCTATTTCAGATCTTCTGGCTAAGTGATTGCAGCCTGAGCCTCTGCATGAACATTTTAAACATGACTGGTTTAATAGCTTGTTTATGCTATATAATCCTACGTTATCCGTCTACAACCTTGTTTTTTTTTTTTTCTAGAGTACATCAGTATCATTGTGGGCCCAGTCACATGATGCAGCTTCTGTTAGCCGCATGCCAGCCCATCACTCTCTTCTTCCCTCTCTAGCCTCTGACAGCCAGACTCATCTTCTCACTACAGCTGCTGCCTGTAAGATGAAGTTCAAAGTGTCTCTTTAAAGCACATTCAAAAAGAAAAGCATGGAGACCCTAAAATATGTAAATCTACTCACTGGTCTTTGCTTTGCCTTTCTGAAGACCTAAGGTGCAGAATTTTTAAAACATTTCTTTTTGCCTTTATTTATCAGAGCAGTGGAGAGAGACAGGAAATGGAGAAGAGTGGGGAAAGACCTGCAGCAAAGGGCTGTGGTCAGGAGTCGATCCCACGACCGCTGCATGGGGGACTACAGCCCTGTTTGTGGGTCGCTGTCTTATCTGGTTGAGCTACCGGGGCGCCCTTCAGGACAGATTTTGTAAACCAGCTTCTTCTCCAGGTGCCTCGTGCTCTTTCCAACCTCAGCAGTTATCACCAGTTCACCCACAGCGTAGCCACAACACACATCTACACCTTTTGTCAGCCAGCAACAGCTGAACCATCTGCCTGCCCGTCAACTAGCCAGCTACAACCCAACTCTCTGCCTGCCGCTGTCCGCTCTCTGCTTCCCCAGCTGTGGCCAACAGTCCTGCTCAGCCTCCACCTGCAGCCTGTCTGTATGTTGCAGCTTCAGTCTTTACCTGCAGCTGCTGCCAGCTTCAGCCTGAGTTTTTATGGCAGCAGGTCTGTGCCCCACCCATGCAGCCTCAGGCCACTTGAGGACCAGTGTTTCCCCTGCAGCTCCTAACAAGTATCATCAAATCAAAACATACAGAAACCATAAAGCTTGTCTTATAGAAAACTATTGTACAGTAAAAGTACTTAACGCAGATACCTGGCCTCCATTGATGTCCCAATATTAAATCTATCACTGAATTATTATTACGTAGACATCAGTATTGGCTGCTGTAGTGGGTCAAAGTGAAGGTAGTTTAAATGGTACATATTTGCATGATTGTTGTGCTATGTGTTTAGATCTCTATGTACAGTAGCCTAACTAGGAACCATGACTGTCAAGTAAAAGCAGTGGAGGAACTATGATATTTCCCTCTTATGTGTAGTAGAAAGGATAGAATAACATACAACTTAAATACTCGCATAAAGTACCACAAATTTAGGCTAAGTCCTTTTACAAAAGGTGCCTCATCTTGCTGCCTATTTAAGTAGGATACTGAGATGTTGTGCCTCCTATTTTCTTAACCACTTAAGCCCGAGAGGCCCAAGAAATCGAGATAAACTGTTGTTATTACAGGTATGTCATTTTCGAGCAGAGGCCTGATAAACAGCTCAGGGCTGAACAGGTATTTTGAGCAGTCTGTAGTATAGTATAGTATAGTATAGTATAGTATAGTATAGTATAGTCATTAAACTTAAGTAATAATATAGTATAACACAGTATAGAATAGAGTAGAGTAGCATAGTATAGTGTAGTCCTTACACTGAAGTAATAGTATAGTATAGCATAGCATAGAATAGAGTAGTGTAGCATAGTAGGATTCAAGGATTCAAGGCTTTCATTGGTCATATAGCATACTGTAGTGTAGTCTTTACACCTAAGTAATAGTATAGTATAGTATAGTATAGTATAGTATAGTATAGTATAGTTCAGCATAGTCCAGGGACTTTGTAAGGGTCCGGGTCTGTCCGTGGGGGGAGGCCGCCCTCTTCTGGCCACCTGCCGTCCTCTCTGAGATCCGCCGCCGCTGTTGCAGTGACACCAGGCGGCCAGAGGAGGCGGTAGACGCCGCTGCAGTGAGCCGCTCCGCTGCTAACGTTACCAGTCAGAAAGAACCAGGAGGAAACAGGGGCCGCACAATTAACAACAGTACAAACAAGGGGAGGCGACGAGCGAGGAAAACAAAGCAGGTTTTGTTCCAAGGAGCACCTGAGTTGCCTTTTACTGTCTTGACTTATCGGGAGAAACCAGTGAACACGCCGCTTGGAAGGTATTCTGCTTTATTTACATGTTGAGCTCTGAACTGATATTTGCAGCACAGCTTGCTGGACAGCTCTCAGCGAGGAGACTCGTTGTAGCGGAGCTAGCCTGCTGCTAGCCAGGCCTGGCTAACGTTAGCACAAGTTAGCTAACTAACCTCCCCGATAGTGCGTTACAAACCTGGTTATCCTGAATTTAGTTCTCACGCTCTAAACCGTATCAAATGAGGCTTAAACAGAGATAAAAGGCGTGTAAGCATTAAGCTGCCGAGGCCTCCGGTGGTCGACAACACACACTTGGACCAGCAGCAGTAGCCGTGTTGTTTGGTGGACAGTGATTGAAATATAATAGGCCACGTTAGCGCACAAACTGATGAGGTTAGCTGTCGAGTAAAGGGTAAAAATAGCCGAATTACACATCACTGCTGCTCCAGGTTACGTTATCTAGCATGTGTGCGACTTCGTGTCACTCGGTAAGTATCCGTTTTGGTAGCATTTTGCCAAGCTGGCAGCTTCACACCATCACAAACCAGGCATGGAGAGCACAGATGGGCGGTGCTCACTGGCAGGTTGATGGTGGTCAGCCTACTGGGCCCCGGGCTTCACACTTGTGTTTCAAGCTACGTGAGTCCTACCATTAGCTTCACACGCTTATGTTAAGGTTGAGCAGGTATAGTTTTGCCACACATGTAGATAAGTTGATGAGACGTGTGGATTAGCAGCAGCTAGCTGTTAGCGGCGGCTGCTAGCTCACTGTCAGATGGCAGCAGAGCATCTGCTGCTGTCTGGTCTGGAGGGTAGGGGGACGTTGGAGCTGCCCTCTGACACTGGTGTGTTTGCTTTCTGGTTGGCAAGAATACTTCAGCCTCCACTGGCACGTGTAGCCGTGGAAATGTGCAGTCTGTTCCAGCTAATTTCCCCCGAGAGAGTCCGCACGGTGCAGCGTTGAGGCCCACGGCAGCGCTCCAGTGCTCCATACCTGATTAGTACCGGAGTCACTGTGGGTCACCGGCGACCTGCTGCTGCTGAACCCGCCATATGTGTTGCTTTCCTATTTGCGTCACTGATACCGAAGCGGGTCAGAGGACCAGAGGCGGTTCTGCTGCCGGCTGCCTACATTAACGAGCATTAGTCTGTTCGAAAGACGGATTTGGCCACCTGGCGAAGTTGAGGTGTGTCTAGATTAATAAAGATGTAAGGAGGCAAACTTGTGTGCTTGGGTCACCGGTGAAAGCCCGTTTTATATTTCAGCTCACTCACACATGACACATCATATCTGAATGGTGGACTGCACCTCCCACTTCGCTTGGTTTATATTCCTGGCCCCAGCATTGCTTTCTAAATGTGGACTCCCTGCCAAGACATAAGAGGAGGTGTGTGACTGCTCCAGGGTTTGTGTGCAGAGTTTAGAGGATCCCAGCAGGACAACAGGTTGGTGTTGTGCTCTTCCACCGGTGCCTCTTTCTGCTTCATGTGTATCTGTAAGTCACCAGAAGACTAGTGTTGGTATTCTGTGCGAACTTTAAATCTACTGGAAGCAGATCAGAGACACAAGTTGAGGTGCAGTTTGTTTAATGACTATATTTTTAGCCTAAATGATTGTGAGACTCTGATTTTGCTTTATTGACACGTGTTCCTGTCTTAGGCTCTAGCTTGCTTGTTGTGGGTTCAGAAAACTTTGCCCTTTTGCCCTACAGTGTATGTAAGGTCGCTGGGTGGGTCGGGGAGTTGTGTAGATAAGGGTCCTCGTTAAGCTAACCACTTAAATAAGAGCAGCAGTGAGATATGGTTGTCACATCTGTCAGTTGCATCACCCGGGGCCTTGCTAGAGGTCTTGGTTCAGTTAATCCTAGAGTCTTGGTGTAGAGAGGAAACTCAAAGGGTGTGTTTACTAACCTGAAAACTGTCACCTGATGGAATATGCAAAGCAATATGACTTGATTAGTCACTGTACAGGGAGTGGGTCATTCAAAGGTCTGAGGCGATGTCATAGTAAACACTACGTGGTTAATTATTTACTGACAATGACCACATTGTTCCACTGCTATATCAAACTTTAAAGGTCAAATCTAGATATGACGTTCATATATGTTGTAAAAAAAAAAAGCATCATCTTTCCTCAGGAGCAGTTGTGATTTTCCTGTTGTAACTTTATTGGTATTAGGTGGCAGCAGTGGGTGTTCCCTTAGGGCTTAACACACAGTTTGGCACCGGCGCTACCTGCCCTGCTGCTGTGGACCGTTGTACAGGAGGAGCTCATGGTGCTTTTCATTAGGACGCTTGGAGTGCACCTGTCTACGAACCAGCTTTGCTCCGGATGATTACACCAGGTCTCAACGATGCACTTGTTTTACCTCTAATTTCTCAGGTGGACAGTCCGCTGCCTGGTTGCTCGTGGTAACTCTCCGCCATGCCTTTCCCCTTTGGCAAGTCCCACAAGTCGCCGGCGGACATCGTCAAGAACCTTAAGGACAGCATGACGGTGCTTGAGAAGCATGACATCTCTGATAAAAAGGCAGAGAAGGTAGAGTGAAAGTCACCTGTGGCATACGTCATCTCAGTAGCCACACTGTGATGAACTTTGTTTTTGGGGGGGAAGATGAGGTTGAGGGAACTTTTTGAAGCTTAAAATACTGTGGTGTCTGCTTTGTGGTATTTGTATACTTGTGTTTACTTATATATGCGTTTATACAGGCCACAGAGGAAGTGTCAAAGAGCCTGGTGGCCATGAAGGAGATCCTGTATGGGACAAATGAAAAAGAGCCCCAGACGGAGGCAGTGGCCCAGCTCGCCCAGGAGCTCTATAACAGCGGCTTACTGAGCACCCTGATAGCAGACCTGCAGCTCATCGACTTCGAGGTGAGACTTGGTGTCTTTTGTAAGCGAGTAGAAAAATACTGAGTGAATGAGACTAAAAGAATAAAAGAAAAAATAGTGATAAACATTAAAGAGTTTATCTAAAGTATGTACACACAGTCAAGGAAATGTATATGTTTCAATGCGGACGGTTGACTTCGTGACAGACGTGCATGTGTCGATATGTGAGCAAACGCATGTTTCCCTGCAATATGTCAGACCGGTGCTGTGTGGTAACTGCTGCTGCAGGCTTCCCTGACTCACCCTATCACAGCATGACTCATTTTAGTGTGTGATCTCGCTCTTCCTCTTTTACCCTCGCTTATTCTTCCTCCACCGTTCAACATATAAAACTGTTTAAGAAGTGCAAATCACAAGGGTGCGAGCTGCCAATGTGACAGTGATTCGATGTTTTAGATGTTTCCGTGCACATTTGATGTATGCAGAATCGTTGTCAGCATATGATGCCCTCTTTTTTTAAACTACATCATGTGCTGGTTTGTTTCCATATGGCTGGATCTTAAGAGAACATCTGTCTTTTCTCCCCCTGAGCTGAAACACCAAAATAAAAAGCAAGTTTAATTGCCACGGCATAAAAGTACAAAATGCAGTGATTTCCTGAAGACATTCTTTAGTTGGCGGTTACATATCTGTCATGAGGTAATGCCACATAAAACTAAAATACACCACACCTGTCATTTAGATCTGCTTGTTCCACCCTGATCTGATCTGATCTGTTAGAAGTGTGTTATGAAACCCTTGTATGTATCAAATGATGCTTTATCAAGCCTGTATGTGCTGTTTGTGTGTCACCTACAGGGTAAAAAAGATGTGGCTCAGATCTTCAACAACATCCTGAGGCGTCAGATCGGCACTCGGACACCCACAGTAGAGTACCTTTGCACTCAGCAGAATATCCTCTTCATGTTGCTTAAAGGGTAAGCAGACATACACACACACACTGAACAGCCCTACTCCCTATGATCATCTGATTATTCATGACTATTGCTGTAAACAGTTTATGTTAACACAATGTTAAAAACACCAACAACTTGCTAGCTAACTTCCTTACATAAAGTAAAATGAGAGCAGCCGTTTTTAGACCGTTACCTATAAAAGAAGAACAAAAATAGGTGAAGCAATCCAATCCAGATTATGACCACATGGTATACGCTTCAGTCAAAAGGAAATCGGCACGCTAAACTGATAAAGGCGGTGGGAACTAGGTTGTTTAGTGGGGATGATGCACGAATAAACTTCAGTCATTACCTATTTTTCGAATAAGTAGGTGCATGACATGGGCCCCAGTCATTACACGCCAGATTAGAACACACTACTGGCCCATTTTGCAGCCTTTCAGTGATCCAAACTAGACAGAAACTCTGCCACATTTACTCCTTGGATTGGCACATCTACTGCCTTTCGTCCTTTGTGTTTGTTCAGTAAATCCTAAGGGATGAGTTTTTAAAAGTCTCTTACAAAGCAGTGTTGTGAGAGAACTCACATCTCATGCATATAGTAGTCCACAGTGATCAGACTAATGGGGACTTCCCTCGTTGTGCGGATCTTAGTTGGCTTTGATCTTTGCTCTCAGTAAACACCATTAGCCTTCACCCAGCTCAATCACTGCTGCTCATTTTTCTTCATTAAACGCTCCAGTATCCACTGCTGACTCTTTGCTGTTGTAAACAATAACATCTGATTTTAACATGTGAAATCTGTGGTTTGTTTTTTCTTTTTACTGCACTGGAGCTCAGTGAAGACTGGGCTTAAAATATGACAGTTTTATTCAGATCAGACTGATTTATGTTCCACATTATAAGCAGCTCGTATGTGTAGATGATGAAATGGTATATCTTTGAGATGACATCATTAATTGAAGCATCGTGGGATATGTAGTGACAAAAAATATAGAGGCATCCTTTATTTCCACATGATGGTGTGAAAGTATGTTCTTACAGAAATACTGTACTTATTAAATAATATGTAAGTTCGCTTCAGTGATGACATAATGAACAAACTGGACTTTTGGCATCTCTTCTAGTTTCAGGAATCCATCCCTTGTCGAATGCTGTTTAATACGATGTGTACTACGCATCTGCAAACTGATAACTCCCTTTCTTTTATGTTGCTGTGTTCTGCAGGTATGAGTCTCCAGAGATTGCCCTAAACTGCGGTATCATGCTGAGGGAGTGCATCAGACACGAACCACTGGCCAAGATCACGCTGTGGTCAGAACAGTTCTACGACTTCTTCAGATACGTGGAGATGTCCACATTCGACATCGCCTCAGACGCATTTGCCACTTTCAAAGTGAGTCGACTCGGTTGTTTCGCTGAGTGGATGTTGTTCTGAGTAATGAGAGGAACATCTGTGACTTCTTACGTTTTTATACCATTTGATTTCTTCACAGAAAAATCCCCAAAGTAGCTAAATGACTGTAACTGATGACATCTCACTTAAGCATCTCCACTTCCTACTGGCTGCTACTTGCTGGTGGCTTGTTTGTGTTGCGTAATTTCAACCACTTTAACTACCCAAACAGCTCTAACGGCGAATCGGATGCACTGGCAGCCAGTTCACGCTGCTCGTACTGCTGTTGTAACTAAACACAGACAGACTTGGACACTGAGAATGTGAAGCAGCACATCATGAAGCCGCCTCTCGCCTTTAAAACACAACATCGGAGTTGAACAATGCTTCATTTAAAATTAAATATCTGTGCATATTAACATTTAAACTCTTGCTAGTGCTATGCTAATTGTTCTGTTGATGCGAACCGGTATTGGCTGCGGCTCAGGTGGTGGAGCAGCTGGTCCGCTAATCACAAGTTGCTCCCGATGGAAATGTATTAAGTGGTTCGCCATCAAGGTAGAAGGAAATAATACTACGTGCTGGCCGTTCTCTAGCAAACTTTTACACCACTTCCTAATAAATACTAGTGATCACATTTCAGTCCTTCCATTAAAGGCAGGATTTATTTTTTCTTTCAGTCAGCCAAAGGATTACTTTGCTGCAATCACGTCTTTCAAATCACTATTACCACTCACACTGCACCCAAAGACATTCTTCCTGTCTAATTTTAGGTTCAGGGTTTTTTATTTATTTATTTGCCAGAATTGAAATGCTTTTCTAAGGATTATTTCTGCCCGCGCTGATTCTTCTTGGACCTTCAGTGTCCAAAAAAGGAGACAATGGGGACCAGGCTAGCTCATGAGCATTATGCCCGACTTAAGTGCTCACTGTCAGCTTTGTCTGTTTCCAGGACCTCCTCACAAGACACAAGCTACTGAGTGCAGAGTTTCTGGAGCAACATTACGACAGGGTAAGTCCACGCTCAACTAAACGCCAAGTAAAAATTCAGCTGAAGTGTAAAAGGAAAGCTTCAAGACATTATGAAATTCAAGGGATTCAAGGAACTTTTACTGTCATGCCAGCTCACATTTGCATGTTTGTGGTATGAAATTGGTTCTCAGGTCCTGTTTTTTTTTTTTTTTAAAGCCTAATAAATAATAAGTACAATGGTAAGACAAGAGCAACATATAAGTAAAAATACAAGCAAATAAGTGTACTGTAGTAAAATGTAGACATTAAATAGAAAAGCCAACATTAGCTATGTAACACTAAATATTTGTGTAGACGGTGAGAAAGAAATGAAGTGTTGACAGCTAAAACAATAATTAACTCAGATCTGCTGGTATTGTTAGGCCACTGTTTTTTTTGGTTTTTTTTGCCATTTGTGAAAATATTAATCAGGACACAGTTTATCACAAGAAATAAACAGAATCCAGTGTTTACAACGTGCACCGGCTGTTTAAAGGCCCTCTTTTCAGCATGTTTTACATTACTAAAACTACTGTCCTCACATGAACCAAACCTTTTCTTTTGACCGGTTACATGCAAATTGGAACCGTCGCCGTCAGTCTGGCTGTTTAGCATGTTGGCAGTTTCTTTGGTAACGACATCAAATCGCCCGTCGGGGACATGATTTGCAGGCTGAGAACACAACGGAGCTGTCAGCGTGTCGAGAAGAAAATGTCTCATTTTCCTGTCACCGTGTTTTGATACGAGACACGGATGCAATTGTGAAATTCACTGTTTCACGCATTTAGATGAAACTCTCTCTCTCTCCCTCCTTCTTGTCCCCAACTGCTTCTATTTTCTCTCCTCTTTCCTCTCTCACTACCTCTTTCTCTTTCGCTGTAGTTCTTTAGCGAATATGAGAAGTTACTCCACTCAGAAAACTACGTGACTAAAAGACAGTCCCTGAAGGTAAGGACCCCGGGTCAGCCAAGTAAACAGGTCACATTTAGCGCTGCAGAGAGCTATTTAAAGACGAGGTCTAGTCATGAGTGTTGGGTTTCTACGAATCGCTCCGTCCCCGTCACTTAGCCGTGACCGCCATCTAGTGGTGAGCACACAGAAATACTTGACATGTCTCGTGCCTAATTTGACTTGAACGTTGGGCTGCTTGAAGCTCTGAAGCCACATTTTTAAACTGAATGGCAGATATTTGACACACTTCTGATCATTATTTGAGCATGTTTTTCTGTTACAGATGATCAGTAATGATTGTAAGTAAAGAAGTAAAAGAAGAAATGCGAGTCAAACTAATTATTCGCTTAATATCTTCCAGGTTACATTAAGTTTAGGATAAGGTTTCTGAGCCATATGTAAACTGATCTAGTTTAGGTTAGTCACATTTTCAGAAATACAAGATGCTACCTTTACCTTTTAAATCCCATAAAAAGGGCTGAAAGGCTATACGTCGCATTCATGCAGTTTACAGAACTCGTTAATTATAACAGACTGTCAACTCAAAGCATTTTATTCAAAATACGTTTTCATTTGAATCCTAGTAAGTCATATTTGTTTCTGTTTTTCGCTCTGAAATGCAGTTATTGGGGGAGTTGCTTCTCGACCGGCACAATTTCACCATAATGACGAAATACATCAGCAAGCCGGAGAATCTCAAGTTAATGATGAATCTGCTACGGGACAAGAGCCGCAACATCCAGTTTGAGGCGTTCCACGTTTTTAAGGTAAAATGAAAGCATGTGTGAGGTGTTTTTTGGCAAATAACAACAGCTGTAAGGAAAATGGACGGTGAGGTGCTGACATGATCATAACCTCACTTATAGTTGGGGCTGGGTTTGTTAACAGTACTACTGCATGTGTTGGAGGTCGATACTGCTTCTCGAAGTAGTACTTTAGAAGTACTCTTAATGGTATTTTTGATATGTTTTCAGAAACATAAATTAAGAACAGAATTATATTTTCTTTTTTAATTTCCTAGTTTATTTTTCATATTAAAGTAAAATAAATTGCACACACGACTTTTTTTAATTTAATTTTTTTATGTTCCCTTTGCATTATTAATGGTTTTATTTGAGAGAAGAAAAGTTTTGAGCACTTCTTGTACAACTGCCAACACAGACGGTCAGAGAAGGGGTGGAAATAAACCAAGACAAGAGTTTTCCTGCAGACTTTAAATCACTAAATCCCCTCCTGATGCTCTGAGCGTTCTGAAACGACAGCTCAGAAGATGCTCTGACCTTTTTTAGATTGAATTTACACCTGCATCTAAACATTCAGCTGGATAATCATTCATTTGATTGGATTTAGTTAACTCCATACATAATATACTCGTGGCAACGAGAGAGGATCTACAAACTGAAGCTGTCAAACTCGTTCTTCACCTGTATGTGATGAATATTCGCCGTACGAATGGTGTTTTATCTCCTACTTGCAAAAGACGTGTTGCACTTGTAGCCAATGCGTTTTGTCGGCATCAGCTCCAGTGAAGTGTGTTTTCTAATTTATGAGTATTTAATTCTCTCCATTGACAGTAAGATCCGTCTGTGTGTGAGAGCGAGCTGCCCACACAGCCTCTGAGAGCGCCTTCTGGACTGGGAACAACAGAAATGCATCATAGACAGAATGGAGTTTCGTTTTCTATTGATGACAATAGAGTTGGTGGGAAAAAAAAAATTAGCAGTAATAAATGGGAAATCTGTTTTTCAGTTCCCCGTTGCAGGAGTGATAAATGTGCAGCAACATTTTTCTGAGATAAATGTTGAGTTAATGGTTCTGTAATTTCAAATCGTGACTTCAGTCGACTGTAAACTTCTGCCTTTTTCCACGTTGATGATTCCCAGTTATGAGCTCTGATCGCTGGTTCCCGTTTGAAATTGTGAAAAGTTTATTATGCAGCCAGTGAATCCCTCATTGAATCTTTCACTGTTCACTCATTTAGGCCTCTCACAGACCAGATCAGAAACGAGAACAAAGACAAACATGGTAGACAAACTGAAACTCTGCATTCTCCATTTAACTATTGTTTGTACAAAGGTACTCGCTACTTGCATTAGACGATGTTTAAATATTTGTCTCCTGTCCAGCATGTTAAATTTACAACTGGCGTGTGTTTCCTTGAGAAGAACAAGGGCTCAGCTTTGTGTTAAAATCATATTTTGTGATGTTTTTCACATTCTGTGAGCTGTAAGACAAACACTTTCTGGTGCACAGCTCATGCAAAACACCAACAATTTATTTAGTAGCTACTCACCAAATGATGAAATAAATTTATACTAATTTTAACTGTGTTGTTTTTACTTCATCTTCTGCAGCTGCAGCTCAGCCCCATATGGAGGAACAAACACTGTTTTTCCTCGCAGCAAATGAATAAATTGAGTGAGGACAGAATTAATGAATGTCACAGAGCAGTGGTCAGATATGTAGTGGAGGCTGCAGCCCTGCAGGGCAGCATGTCCAAGGTTTGATAGTTAATTATTACCGCAGCTTCCCTTCCTGTCACTGTCATACTCGTCTGGTCATTTGTCCTTGAATCACAATTAAAATGTTTTTATTGTGTCACTAATGTGATTAGAAGAGGCAAGATTCATGAATATTAAGCACATCTTTGATTGGACACGGCAGATTTGCAATGAGAAATGAAAAGAAATACTATAAAGACTGTTCTCCTTTATATTTTTTATATTCAGTAAGAAATCTGATCAATAGAACTGTTAGATCCGGTTCTTTATTTGGAAGCCCAAGAACAAGCCGGAGAAATCTTCAGTTCTCAGATGCAGAATTTATTTAGGTCACAGGCAAAGTTTTGCAGCGCTGGAATTCAGAGGGACAGAGAGGAATCTCATGTCCAGCTGAACTGAGTGTTTTCGGTTCCAGGTTACAGATATCTTCTTGGGCTGGGCCTGCCCCGAACATAGATAAGATTTAATTGGCCAGTTACTAATGGCGTGGACAGGCATACTTCTGTGCTCTGTCCACGTCCTTGACATTTGGTAAGCAACGTGTGTGGATGTTGTTGGTACGGCGTGTAGCTAAAGTAACAATCGTATCTAGTAGAAAAGAGGAGTTTCCGCTATCTCCAAGTGTGCAAACCAGTTCTCACTGGCCACATTATCTTCAAGGACATAAGCTCAGCACAAAATACAAACTCAGAATACATAATAACTTGAAACTTAATTAATTATAAGAACCATAGGAATCATGGAAAAATACAGACTCAGAACACATAATAGCTTGAATCATACTTAATTATAACAGAACCAGCGGGGGAACCTGATAGCCGACTGGTTCTGGCACATTACGTGGACGTAAATGCCCTAAACAACGAGTCCCTGCTTTGATTCCAACCATCCAGACCCTCACAGCCTGCCAAAAACATCAGCTGTAAAAGAAAACAACAACTAGCAAACCCCATCCCCAATCGTTTATGAAAAGTGACGATGATGGGCATGTATTGGGAAAGTTTTGTAATTTTCAGCCTCCCTGACAGCTGCACTGCCTCTAAAAGAAGCCCAGTGCTTTGACAGAACAAAGACTTTGCTTCGGCTCCTGTAAGACGCCAAGAGGACACAAGTTCTTATAGTCGTACCAAAGATGTGTCAAACAAGCAGACATAGAGCACAATACCTGCAGATTTAAACCCTTCTCTCTCTTCCTCTTCCTCTTCCTCTTCCTTCGCTACCAGGTGTTTGTGGCCAACCCCAACAAGACGCAGCCCATCCTGGACATCCTGCTGAAGAACCAGACCAAACTCATCGAGTTTCTCAGCAAGTTCCAGAATGACAGAACAGAGGACGAACAGTTCAACGACGAAAAGACTTACCTGGTCAAACAGATCAGAGACCTCAAGAGGCCTGCACCCCAGGAGGCCTGAAAGCGGGTGCAGAGGTGCAGGGAGGAGCCCCCAGGACCATATCTGGACAACATCCAGACAACGTCTGCTTAACGGACCCATCAGCAGCTGCTGTTCTGGTTTCTGAACAAAAATGAGGAAACAAATGAAAAACAAACAAGCCCATTTCAGCTCATCAGGAAGTCGCCAGCTCCTCTGCTCCTCAGAACATTTGATATTTTTTTTCTTTTTCAATCTTTTTCCTTCAAAAGAAATAAGAGAAAATAATAGTTGCTGCTGCTTTCTTGCACATTGAGACGTTTAAGGTATATTATATTGACACAACAGTCCATCACACACAGAGACAGAACGTGTCCGTGCATTAAAAGTAAGGCAGACTTCCTGATAGACACTCACACACACACACACACACCACAACAGTCCATCACACACAGAGACAGAACGTGTCCGTGCATTAAAAGTAAGGCAGACTTCCTGATAGACACTCTCACACACACACACACACACACCAAGCAGTTGACACGTTTACACACACATGTATTACATGAAAAAACAAAAGAACATGCATACACACATGCTGCAAGAATGTCAGCTAAAACCATGTGATGGAAACGGTACGAGCAAGTTGAACATTGGTGTGTTCGTTGCATGCCTTGAAATGTGACAGATCCACGGCTGTACCCGGCGCCGGCTCCGTGAAGGCGTGCCCGGTTTGGCGCCCGCGTTCAGCGCCGCCGACTCGCGTGCATCACAGCAACCGCTACAGTTCGCATCTATGCCTTCATCCAGCAAAGCAAACAGTGGTTCATTTCAGCGGGGACGAGCTCTCAGATGCCATCACACAGAACCATTTACCTCCTGTGTGCTTTGTTACGACTCAGCACTTGAAGCACATGAAGAGAGGAGGGAGGGATGGAAGGTATGAGTTTGGTAAAGCCTGAGGATTGGGTGTTTTTATTATTTTCTGGGACAGGGTGAACATGTACATATGCCTTTTTTTTTTTTTTTTTTTGCTTTGTAGATTTTTGTTTAACCTTGACATATGAATATATATTATATATATATATATATATATATTACCTTAAACATCACGTTTTTGGTTAATTGTAATCAAATTACTTTCTAAACCATGAAAAACAACAAGTTAAGTGACATTGTTTTTGCATTTCATTTTACTGCTGAAATGGTTGCTGGTGGGTTTCTTTGTACATAACTTAAAGGGCCAGCTCACATTTAGCTAACCGATAGGATATTAACAATTTGTACAGCGGAGGAATGTCATGGTATTAGCTCTGGATCTGTTAATCCTCTTTTTATTCTCCATCTACATTTTGAGTATCTCAGACTGCTGAAAATGTGCAGGGGGGGTGTGAGCGGTGCCGAAAGGGAGGGAAGGGAATGGGCAGAGCGTTCACTGAAACATTGAAGCCTGTGTGTTTGTGCACTTTGCGAGATGCTGGGCAGTCGGCATCGCCTAACTGGAGTCGAGGGCGCTAAGGATTTCCCCGATCCTCCGTTGGCTTGTTTTTGCCCCCCATCCTGGGAGTGCTGTGTGGCCCCACAGTAAGCGTGCTTCGGGGGTGATCTCATTACAACAGCTCGGCACATCTTTCTATCATTCTTACTTCCATTCTTGTCCTTTTTTTTTTTTTTTAGCCTTTCTCTTCAGGGGGTTTTATAATTCCAGTACAATGATGAGTGTAAAGCATTGTGGGTAGCAGGGTACTTTGGGCATGCTGGTTTGTCCTCATGGTGTTGCGCAAAACTGATAAAACCACAGATTTTCCCTTATTTTGCAGTGATGCATTCAGGCAGGTAAAGAAGAATCCATTCGAGTGCAGACAACAGCCCACAGCTCCTCCATGCGCGTTGAACAAGCATGTCGCTCCACTGGCTGTGCATGATGCTGCGCCAAAGATGTTGTACTGGAATTGTTTCTTTTTTCAAAGTATTTAACAACATTGAAATGTCAAGTTGAACTCTTGGTGATACGGCTGCACGCTGACTCCAGTTTCAGCATAGAGCGTGTGGGTGCTTTCAGAAGTGTCAAAGGCCTGGGCCCTACAATCGAAATAAAGAAGAAAAAAACATTTGGAATAAAAAAAAGTATGTCTTTTTCTTCTCGTGCACCAAAATCACAACTCATCCGTCCAGTGTGTGTCGACACTGGAGAACATCAACGCATGTCAGCTCGGTATATTTAAGTTAGGCCCTTACCTCTGTCAATATCCATCCATCCATCATCTCTACACCTTCATCCTCACCAGGGTCATGGGGGGCTGGAGTCTATCCCAGCTGACTCAGGGTGAAGGCAGGTTCACCTGGACAGGTAACCAGTCTATCACAGGGCTAC